TTTTTTTAAAAAAAAAAAAAAAGATATTGTTTTGTACATTATTTTTTTAATTGACATTGTGATCAATATTGAATATTTTTGGAAATAGTTTACTTATTTAATTTCACCAATATAATTTAAAATTAAAACTCAATAATTGCCACACGTTTATTAACCCAAAAAATTAATTATATACTCAATAAAATTAAAAATATTTCACTAATTACTAATAAAAAATGAGTTCTCGCGTTGCTTGATAAGGATATCATATATAAGTATTGGCTTTAACGATTGACAACCTTTTATATACAACAAATAAACCTACCATATTTTCCGATTACTTAAATAACACTAATATAATTTTATTAATATGTTATGGTTTACTTGCGGTATGTAGAAGGTTGGCTCCACTATGGAGTCAGCTGTTGGCTTCATAGCAAAACCGTTAGTTTTAATCACCTCAATTTTGGCAATACATAAATAAGAAAATTAATCGTAATTAGTAGCATATCAAATAATTAATGTAACAAAACCCTACCGCATCACAAGTAGAAGCAATGTGTTAAACACTACTAAACAACAAAAAATAGTTAACCATAGTTAGGATTGGTAAACGAAACTTGTGAGCTCTGCTCGGTTCAATCATGCAAGCTCATTTAAAGCTCGTTAGACTTAAAAAAATAGGATTGTAGTGTAATTTTCTAACTTGTACCATAATTCAACTCATTAAATTATATAATAAGTCGATCGAGCTTGATTTGTTTACACATCTAATTAGTACCTACACCAAACTAGTTACAAATCAATATTTTTAAATAATTATTATTTTTAATTATGTTGTGTACCCTATTGTTTTGTTGTATGTTGCTAGTCAATTTGCAAAATATAGAAGAATATAACACTGAACAAAGTTTAGCTGCTAATTAACTTAAAATAGCTCGATAATTTGTTCTTAATCAAGAGTAAAATGGACTAGAAAACTTCATGTAACTTGATGAATGCTAATTGAGCCGACCAAATTAACTTAAATTTTTTTTTTTATCTGCCACGTGTTGCTTGTTTATTTGTGGAAAAAAGGTCGGTAGCAAAACTATCATCAACAGATCATGACCGAGTAAATTTACCCATTAAGTTAATTTACTTATAAGTAAGCCCAGCCCAAATTATTGCCCGCGCCTATTAGCTTCAAAAACTCTTACTGAGCCCAGCCCAAATTATTAACCTGAACAAATCAGCTACTAATAATACAGTAAAAAGTTCTTAAGACCAGCTTTTGTGAAAATTTTTCAATAAATCTAATCAAGAAGAATGATTTTATATATAAGAGATTCATGCACTTCATTTGAGACATTCTTATGAGTTTTTTTGAAGTGCTTCATAAGAAAACTTGTTAACACTTTTTCATTATCTTCATCTCCATTAAAACCTTCTTCCAAAACCAAAGGAAATGAAAAAAGATACAAGAAAAAGAAGAAAATGTAGGGAAAAAATCGATCTTCCTTTAACAAAATCAATCTGCACATACGATTAAAAAACCGATATCTACTCGTTTTCTTACGAACCCGTTTTTTGGACTTTTTTTCACAAAAGTTGAAACAGCAACTCGTTCCACACGTCAGGCACGCCCGGCAAGCACCAATGGGTGCAATCA